TGGTCGTTCCGGCAAATAGTATGATTGGGTTACATTACTACTATATGAAACCTGGGCGCGAGGGGTTCGATAGAGAAATCATGCTACGTGCAGAAAACCGTGTCCCAAATCTTTTAATTCCCACCCCCTTGGGTCAAGACACTTATCTGACAGAGTATGACGTCACAACAGGCAGTTACGTTGTCTTCAATGAGTATATCACCAGTCTGACCAGGCCAGAGTTCGTTGACGGCGTAGGACGTGGGGTCCTTCCTCGATACGTGCACGAAAACGAATATCTGAATGATGGAAGAATGGTGATCACCTTCTCCTGTAACCGTACCAAATATCGTCTGCCATAGATTTCATTAATTTTTTTGAAAAGTTATCTTTTTGGGTTATTCAAATATGTCATTGTTTTGTTGGTTTAAGAATTATTTTGCTCCCATGAAATTAATTGTAAGGGTTGGGCAAAGGAAAATATATGAGAAGAATAAAATCTTATTTAAATTGTTCTTGGACTATTTTTTTTTCAAGACAATCCCGCTCATTAGGGTGTGTGCGTGTGTGTGTGTGTGTGTGTGAGAGAGAGAGAGAGAGAGAGAGAGAGAGAGAGAGATCCTTCTTACCAAATTGACTCTGGCAAGAGTAGTACATGTATCAAAGTACGCCACAACTTTCAGTACCTTTTGAAAATCAAAAAAGCTTTACTGTTTTATATATATACTAAAGCCAAGACCGGTGTTACGAAACTGAGGGTTCGTGTATATGAAAGTCCGCTTTCCATTTTGTTATAATGGTTAGGGTTAGCCTGACCAAGAAGTTATAACTTCTTGGCCTGACTTAAGTGGGTCTAAATTTAGAGCGAGGCTTCCTATCCAAATGAATGGCAAGCGGACTCTCTATCACCGGCAAAAGGGATGGGGGTCTTTGGACACCCCCCCCCCCAGAACACACCCTGGCTACGGGCCTACCCACACTTCTGTCACTTCGGTAAGCAAATTGGAGAGGGCAAACCTTCGTCAGCATTATTTGTCGTTTTCACCTCTTAACCTTAAACTATGTCCGTTCATATGATCAAATATCATTCTTAAACGATATGATTTATATTTGATAGTGGCAAATCTAGTCAACCCATCTTATTTCTATGATAAGATCGATGTTTTGTAGACAACGTTACTTAATTAATTACTGTGCTATTTTTTTACGTATGTGCCTTCTAAATGGATTAATCATTTTTATCAACAATCTACATTGAGTTAGTTGAGGGAGTGAAATGCTAACGTTCTTTTTATTTTATTGAATAACTTGAAAAAATATTCGGACATAATTTGACTGTAACTGACATAATGAAAAATACTCTAAAATACTGTAATTCGACTCCCCTAACCCCTTCTTAGATAAATCAGCAATACGACAATGGCGCCGTAATGCATCACGGGGGGTGTATTGAGGCCGTCTTCTGGAAGATGGTCAAATTGTCAAGTTTACACTGACGGGCATATGATTTTTTCTGCCTAAAGACGGTCACAAATGGAGGACGGATCAACAAAGATAGTTTGGAAGACTGTCAGAAAATATCTCTGGATCCGCCCCTGATCATGCAGTGTTTTGTAATTTTTTATGTTTAAAAACATCCTAAAATGTGACGCTTTCACTCCTCGTGTTGTAAATAACCAAAGATACAGGCATGCAGGCATGGTAACAACGACTTTCATAGAAGGGAAGATAATGAAGCTGATTATACTGGTTGCATAACGACGCTGTCTCTACCGCGGTAATACGACTAAATGCGTCCTAGTTAAAATGTTTAATGCCTCCGTCTGGGAAAATGTCTGCACCCAAGGCAGCCAGATGGATCATTTCAAAAATATTTTCAGGTGTTCAGGTTTGAATAAATTGTACTAGAGGTACCAAAAACATAGTTAAAACGAAAATGAAAAATAGCTTACTTTTTGGTGCCGAACTTTAAGTCGAGTTGAGGGGTGATTAACAAGGAATAAAAAAGCACAATTGAATGAACAGATCAAGAAAAATAAAATCGTACGCTGTTAAGATTCACTATAAAATTCATATATATATATATATATATATATGACACTTACATTTTTTATGAACTGTATTTAATTTCAATACTGCTCCGCGTCGCTGCGCAGTTGCCTTTCATGAGTCAGCTGAAGAGGTGTTCCGAAAGATATTAAGTGTCTTAATTGTCGCCGACTATTGGGAACATGGTGAGTACAGCGTTGGATAATTAAGAGAATTTTACCTGTTTAATGGTATTACAACTAAATGGTGTTCTCCGGAGTAGATATTGTGCTTAGTTACTTTACTGATATGGTGTACATGCATAAACATCATTTCAGTTAAAGTGTTCGGCGTCTCGGAACTAAAATGATACTATATCTTTGCAACTGTATGTCAAGTCTAGTCCTGTGTATATCTTGTGGACAGCGTATTAAGAGCAACAACATATTTTTTTTCTTTTAAAGGTATTGCATCTCTTTTCCCTCCTGTGTTTCTTCGCATTACACATGGTAGTGACAAGTGAAAGAATGTGCACTGTCTATACCATGATAATACAAGACAGTGTGATTCTCGATGGAAGCCAAGGATTTCCTAGCGACCAGTGGTACAAAGTACACCGATATTTTGGTCGAAACACGAACGCCAGCATCGCGGCTGAAGGGAGGAAGTTCCTACAATTTTTGAAGGTATGGTACGGCATCGACGTGGACGTTGCCGACGATATGTTGTCTGGGGTTGATCCAACTCCTGTGTTCTTCGAAACCTCTGCAGTAAACTTTACTTTTAAAATCATAAATCTTCCGCAGTCTGCTAATTTTAGACTTTATTCAGAGTCTCGTGACAATGAAGTTCGTTTTTACGATTCCCAGATGGTCTATAACGCATGGGTGATCGTGACCAAAAATGAGTTTACTGTAACAGAGGGCCGAAATCAGGGAATGGTCGTCCCAGCAAATAGAATGATTCGGTTTAAAAATTACTATACGAAACCTGGGCACAAGGGGTTCGACAGCGAAATAAAGCTACATGCAGAAGACCGTGTTCCACTGCTTCGGGTAGCCATCCCCTTGGGCCAAGACACTAATCTGACCGGATATGACGTCACACTAGGCAAGTACTGCGTCTTCAGTCCGCATGTCACCAGTCTGTCGAGGCCAGAGTTTGGTGACGGCGTAGGACGTGGGGTCCTTCCTCTGTACGTGCACGGAAACGAACATCTGAATGATGGTCGAATAGTGGTCACTTTCTCTTGTAACCGTGCAGATAATCGCCTGCCATAGATGAGCTTTTCATATATTGGAAAGTTTTCTTCGGGGCTTATACGAATATATCATTATTTTGGTTGCATTCGAGGCATTTTGATTCCATGAAATTATTTGTAAGGGTGTTGGGCAAAAGAAATAAGCGACGAATAAAAAAAGCTGTTGCAAGAACACATGGGTTGTTTTAAACTCTTGATCAAAAAGGTTATCTTACCTCCAATTCCATGCGTTTTTGTTTACAAATTAATAATTAGTTCACTGTTCTGGATGCGCTCTAAGGTCACGTGTCCAGTAGTGCTTGCAAGTGGGTCGCGCCATATTTGAACCGCGGCTCAGTTAGGCCTGGCTCAACTTGGTTGTGAACACAGCCATACAAGACCAAACCATTGTTTCTACACCAGTTCACTAAAGGTGACACCAATTACCTGTACATGAAGATTCATTATCATCATAAATTTTACGGACTTCAGTTGTCTCTTTGGCAAACATCATTTAAATAAAAAAATTGTTTAATGGCATTACAACCTAATGGTGTTCTCCAGAGTAGATATTGTGCTTAGTTACTTTATTGATATGGTGTACATGCATAAACATTANTCTCTCTCTCTCTCTCTCTCTCTCTCTCTCTCTCTCTCCTCCTCCTCCTCCTCTCTCTCTCTCTCTCTCTCTCTCTCTCTCTCTCTCTCTCCTCCTCTCTCTCTCTCTCTCTCTCTCTCTCTCTCTCTCTCTCCCCCCCTGGTGAGATCCTGGTGAGATACTGCTGAACAGTTAGAAAAATACCAGTTATTAAAACCGAGTTTTTGTTAATAGTGTTATTATTATTATTATTATCCACATTATAAAATAAATACGCAGTGTCTGGTTCACTGATTAGATGAAGGTAATGTAGTGTTTATCCATTGACTGTTTCAGTGTAAATAAGATGTACGTGTTCATCCCAGTTCATTTCCAGGTCGTCGCTTGTTATCAGGTTAAAATGGCGGTAGATTTCACCCTTTCTGTTGCTCATTTATTTGTATTTACAGGAGGAAGATGGTGGCCTGTCTTTGGAAATTTAGTCAAATACAAATTTGGTAATTTTGTTGCTGCTTGACTGTTTGACTATGTCCCCTCTGATGGGGGGGGGGGGAGAAATTCCTGATAAATAACGGGGGGGGGGGGGTGTATAGGCTTGGTAACGCGTTTCTGATTCAAAATGTAAACGCATAATAACTAATTTGTTCAGAAGTTGTCATTCACTGCGTTTCTGCTTACCAGCATTATAGCAATGTACGACCTTTTGCTTGATCAAAGTGGAAGTTACAAAGTGGCTTAATAGATTACAAGTTATAAAGTGCCTAAGCTTTGGGCAAGAACTTGTACAACTTCTTGTTTTAAAGCACCCACCAACAAATCCACGCCATATTTTTACACTTCATTGTTAGCATGATGCGGTTTGAGTAGGTAACTGGTTGTCCAAATTGTCAATGTTCTTCCTATGTGGTTAATCAGCGTTTTTTCTTTTTCTTTTGGACCAGTCAATTACAGTCCCTGATAAAATACTGCTTGCTGGTTTATTTTTATTTTAAAGGTTACTTAAAGCTTTTCCATTAAAGACACTTAAACCTTTGTTCATACGGGCTGCTCAAAAATTATATCGTGAAAATCGCATTAAGATAACGGTACCATTAACTCTTTTTGACTGTCTATAAATTGAATACTTCACGACGCCGCTGTTCAGTTGCCGTTCACTAGTCAACCAAAGAGGTGTACCAAGAAGATATAGCCAGGGACAATTTGAGCGTCTCAGTAGTCTCCGATGACATTAAACATGGTGAGTACAGCGATAGAGTTTATCAAATACCCACAAGTACTGTGCCCATTATAAGGCATTTCAACCTGATGACAGCGGTGGACGCCGGTGATAAATTCGTCCACTGGTGTGTTGTACATGATGTGTTTTTGACATTCAGTTTAGCAGGCTGTTGGTATTGTACTGTTCGCATTGCCCTCAGATGACTAATTCGAGTTCATCGGAAACTAAACCCAGCAAAACATTCAGTTTCATTTTGAGCTCTTCAGTCTCACAATCTTTTTTTTTTTACTGAACTGGGTACAGGCGCAGGTCTCGTGCGGCTATTGCTTTTCAAAGACTTTTAAAATATCCTTTCAAAAATTTTAAAGGGTGGACGTGATACAATCTTTATCGGAACCGACAACATTCATTGGCCTTCTCTTTGATGTTCGTCTTCCTTTCCAAAAGATACCAGAGAATTAGAGCTTCTATAAGCCATTGGTATTTTTATAATTAAACTGTTTATTTTTTTTATTTAACTGTTTATTAAGTTGCCAACATGCAAGGTTAGTTTGGGGGAGTAGATGATACGTCGAAACTCCCTTCTTAAACTCGATATGAAAAGTTTTGGATGTCTTGCAACTAAATTTAAATCTTTGCGTAAATTTGCAGAAACATGGCCTACATATATCTCGTGGATACTGTATTAAGGTGACTCTGTTTCTTTTCTTTTTTTTTCTTAAGGTATTGCATCTCTTTTCCCTCCTGTGTTTCTTGGCATTGCCAATGGTGGTGTCGGGAGAAAACTTGTGCGTCGTCTACACTATGGCTAGCCATGGCAGCAACGATGGCATTCCGAGCCAAGGATTCTCCACCGAAGAATGGTACAAAGTACACCGATATTTTGGTCGACACACGAACGCCAGCATCGCAGCTGAAGGGAGGAAGTTCCTACAATTTTTAAACGACTGGTACGGCATCGATTTGAACGTTGGTGACGATGCCTTGTCAGGGGTTGATCCATCAACTCTGTTCCTCGAGCCCGCGGGAGTTCGCATAATTTTTAGACTCTCGGTCCTACCAGAATACTCTAATTATAGACTTTATTCGGAGTCGCGTGGCAATGAAAGTCGTTTTTACGGTTCCAGGGTTTACAGTGTTGGGTGGATGATTTTGATCAGAGATGAGTTTACTGTAACCACGGGCCGAAATCAGGGAATGGTCATTCCGGCAAGAAGCGCCGTCAGGTCTCGAGTCTACTACATAAAACCCGGGGCAAAGGGCTTCGATAACGAAATTAAGCTGCAAGCGGAAGATCGCGTTCCAATTCTTGTGCTTTCCATGCCCTTGGGCCAAGACGCCGGGTATGAAACAGGAAGCTACTCTGTCTCCAATCCGCACGTGACCAGTCTCTCTTCACCCGATTTCGGTGTAGGAAGAATGCGTGGGATCTCCCCTCGGTACAAAAATGGAACCGAATATGTGGTCGACGGTCGAATGGTGTTCACCTTCCACTGTGGTGATATGGAGGATCAGCTGCCATAGATGAGCTTTTCATACACTGAAATTTTTCCCGACGGGGTTATTCAAACATATTATTAATTTTTGCTTGGTTTTAAGGTTTAATTTTGAAGTAATGGAATTTATTGTAAGGGTTGGGCAAGGGAAACATTGGAGGAATAAAGGTCTGTAAAATTTAACTTTGAGTGCACTTACATGTATATCAATAATGCCTTCAGTAAAATAATATAATAACGTTTATCAGTGAGAGAAATTTAATGGAAATTGAATGTTAGACAATTAAGACAATACAAAAAGACATTAAATCTATTACAGGAAATTCTATATTGAAAGCAGAACTAAAAACTCAATTCAATCGTTTGTTATGTAAGGAATGTAACTCTTTTAGGTTATAATTTATAATAATAAAAAGGAGGTTTTCGGCCTTCTGAATTGTTTTTCCTGTCTAAATTCAACTGCATATTAGGTATCAAATAAAAGCAAACTACCACGTCTGTAGAAGGGATTCGTTGCAGAACTGCAATCGATGAGAGATACTTCTTTTCAACTGAAACTGTGTCAGCTATAAATAAAGCCGGACCGGCATCCATTAATGTAATAAAAGTTTTTGTGCGGGCATCTCACCGGCTTCAGATGATTTTAACTTGACTAACATGGTGAGAGCAGATATAAATAATTTTGTTCAAATCAAAATGTGCACCTAGTATAGAGTGACGAAAATAAAATAGAGGCCTAATTTTAAGCATCACTTTCTAATTTTACGGGGCAACCAGGAGAAAATGCCCGGTGGCTAACAAATATTATCTGGTGATCAAAGAAAATTGAAAATTTTTATCGTCTGCTTAATTACGTTTTATTTGACAGATCCATGTTCATGTACAGCTCTCTCTCTCCCCCTTTTTCTCCCCCCTCTCTCTCTCTCTCCCTCTCTCTCTCTCTCTCACTCCCTCCCCCCCCTCTCTCTCTGTCTCTCTCTCTTTTTCTCTCTCTCTCATTTTCTTTCAATGCCACGCACACTATAAACCCCAGCAAACCAAGGTAGATCTCCCAGAATATTCGAACGTGTTCGGCAGTTTATCCAGGCGCTCAGTTCTCCTTACTGCCTATCAGATGAAATAAGGCAAATTTCACAACTGACCTTACGTCTTTTTTTTTCGTCACCAAAAACTCAACATGCATTGAAAAGATAGATAAATTAATGAATACAAATAATGCGTTTTGCAGAGAATGTCTTCACTAAAGCAATGTGCAATTCACTCAGGGTGTCTTCACTAAAGCAATAGTCAATTCACTCATTGGGTCTATGCACAATCACTTTAAGTGAGATGAGATACTGCTGAACAAATACAAAAATATCAGTTATAAAACAGCATGTTTGTTAATATCATCTCACGGTATTGGTAGTTTGGAGTGCCATCTTATAAAAGATATACTCAGTGGTTGGTTTATTGCTTTGCTGCCTTGTTTGATGAAGGTATTAGACTGGGTCCCCATACCTAGAACATGTTTATCTTCGATTGGTTTCTCGCTAAATTGCTTAGATGTCTGGCACGTCTACTGAAGCTGATTAACGATAATTAATTACCTCTAGAAGCTGCAGTGGGCATGACAGACATCTAAGCCGCTTAAGTTGATTGCAATTTCGCGATAATCCCCTCGGAGATTCACAGTTAGTATGATAGGGTCTGGGAATAGTCCCTTATAGTGTATCTATTGACTAGTTTTAGAGTGCATTCCCAGAGATTTAGATCGCTCCAACTAAATCGACCTACTGTAACTTCTTGGGGGTTCACGCTAAATTGCTGTCAGCCGACCGCGCACGGAAGTTAATAACCCCCTTAAAGCTTTTTTAAATCTGTGGGAATGGGGTCTTAGTGTGAATAGGGTGCATAAATATGTTCAACCCAGGTTAGGACGTCGCTTATTATAAGGTTAAAATTGGTTTCCCCCTTCAATGTCTTATTGATGTGTATATACTGGAGGAAGATGGTGGCCTGTCTTTGAAAAGTAAAATATAAACTTAATTGTTATTTTGTTGTTGTTTGACTCTTTTTCTGTTTGTCAAAAAAATTCCCCTCTTAGGAATGGGGTTGACGGGTTGCAGGAAGGATCTGTTATAAAGTTTACGTATTGCAGAGGTTGTTTAGGTTTGGTTGCGCGTTTCTATTACAAAAGAAAACAAATGTTATTCTAAAAAAATTATCGGTTAAAAAAGTCACTTCGCAAGAAAGAACAAACAAAATCGCCCAAATACACAAACTGGTACTTAAAAATGCCTGAATTATTAGATAACAAGTGAAAGGGTGACAAAGTTTGAAAAGGGCAAACTCTAAAAACAATACGTTTATCGCTTGTAAATATTGAATGGTTGCATAACACACCGTGTAGTTGCCAAATTGTGACCTTGGACCGTTTATTAACGGTAAGAATCTCGAAAAATTGATGAAGAGTTTGATGTAACCTTTTTCATGATAGGCAGACTTTTGGTTATACGGGATGTAGAGAGAAAAAGTGCAAGTTGCGACACGATAATGGTACCACGAACGCTCTTTTTTTCACAAACTGTATATAATTTGAATATACCTCACTAAGCCGCTGTTCAGTTGCCGTTCACTAGTCAACCGAAGAGGTGCAGCAAGAATATATAGCAAGGGCACATTTCAGCGTCTCAATAGTCGCAAAGAACTGGGAACATGGTGAGTTTAGCAATAAATACTTTGTGTTATCATACCCCTTCACATGGTGTGTTGTATATACTGTTGTGTTAACATTCAGTCAAATCAGTTGTTAGTATTGCACTCTCCGCATCGGACACTTAACCTAGGAAAACGTGTAAATCCAAGGTATTTGAAGATTCCCAGTTACATTTCTATGCAAAGAATGGTTCGGAACTTAAAAACTAGATGTATCAATAACTTAAATAAAAATGGAATCAAACATCGAAATCACGGAAGGGTCGAGCAATGGTTTGTGGAAAGAACAATGTTGTGTATTTTTTCTCGATTAAAATTCATCTTGGCTGGTAAATCCCGTATATAATATCCTTCATTTGTTTTTTGTTTTTTGTGCGTCTTTTTAAGTATTTCTTGAGGTTTTTTTCAAAGGAGTAATTCAGGTTTTTGGCCACGACGTTGGAGCCAACGGTGTTCAATATCGAAAATTACATACTTAACTACACTTACACAAGACGGTTGCCAGGTTGCTTGAGCGATATATCAAATCTTTTTCTGCAGTACAGTGCGGACGTGATACGATCTTTACCAGCCAAGATAACGTTCAATGGTTCGCTTTAATATTTATCCCACCCCTATCCGAAAATAGAGAATCAGTGACACTTATAAACTCGTATCATAACTATTGAAGCGAACGTCCAAAACCATTTTCAAAAGTTTTTGTTTATCTTATTCATTCACTCATTTTTTACTTATTTATTGATCAACATGCTGGATTAATTCGTGGATTTTTCTGCGAAATAAATCAAAATGATTAAACATTTTTGATCGGATCTGTGTCTGAATCCTATTTCAAACTCTAAATCAATTAAAAAGTGTATGGGAACTTGAAACTGAAAATCTGAATGTAAATTTTACAAAAAGATAACCTACATACGTTAGTGTATCTCGTGAACACCATATTAAGGGCGACTTTAATTGTTCCTTTTTGAAGGTACTGCATCTCATTTCCCTCCTGTGTTTCTTCGCACTGCCAATTGTGGTGGCGAGAGGAAAAATGTGCGTGGTCTATACCATGATTAACCACGGCAGCAACATTGGCGTTCAGAACAAAGGGTTTCCCACCGAAGAATGGTACAAAATTCACGAATATTTTGGTCGAAACACGAACGCCAGCATCGTCGCTGAAGGGAGGAAGTTTTTACAGTTCTTGAAAGAATGGTACGGTATTGAGGTGGATGTTGGTAACGATACCTTGTCAGGGGTTGATAAAACTTCGGTGTTTTTGGAGAGCTCAGGAGTCAAACTTATTTTTAAAGCTTCGGTTCTTCCAGAATATACAAATTACAGACTTTTTTCGGAAGCGCGTAAGAATGAAATTCGATTTTTGGGTTCCCAGATTTACAGTAATGGATGGATGATTATGAACTTGAATGCGTTCATAGTGAAACAGGGCCGAAACCGGGGAATGTCAGTTCCTGCAAAAAGCGTCATTCGGTACAGAGACTACTATACCAACACAGGGAGCGTGGGTTTCGACAGAGAGATTAAGCTACACGCAGAAGATCGTATTCCAATTCTTGTTATTCCAATCCCCTTGGGTAAGGACACTAATCTGACCGGATATGACGTCACACTAGGCAAGTACTCCGTCTTCAGTCCACACGTCATCAGTCTCACCAGACCCGAGTTCGGTGAAGGCGTAGGGCGTGGAATCTCCCCTCGCTACGTGCGTGGAGGCGAGGCTTTGAATGATGGCAGAATGGTGATCACCTTCTCCTGTAATACTACAGATTATAACCTGCCATAGATAAGATCTTCACACGCTGAAAAATTCTCTTTGAGAGTTATACAGATATACATGTATACAAATGTATTAATATTTTGCTGGTTTTTGAGTTATTTCGATCCCATGAAGTTAATTGTCATCATTTGGCAACAAAAATAAGGAAATAATAAAATATTTGTTGTGAAAATAGTTTGGGGGTTTTAATATCAATATAACATTTTAACCAAAATTAGGGAAAAACACTCAGGGAGCGCAGACGTCCATCAAGACAAATGATGAACTAATGATTTATCATAATTTGAACGACGGATCATCACCAAAATCTAACCACTTTTAAGTTAGCCCACTTCTGACCTATCCTGAAAATTTTATTTAAATCAAGCCAAAAGTTTTGAGAAAGGCTATTGACAAACGGACAGACAGGCAGACAGACAGAAACAGACTAACAGAGTTGAAATTATAAACTATAATTATATAATCTAATTATTTAGAGAGAGAGAGAGAGAGCTTTCAATTCCACTCTACCAATGTTCATGGGACAACTGCAGCTCTCAACAAACTACGCCACACATAAATGTTTCAATTTTTTTCTGAAATCAAGATAATTTTCAAATATTTATATACACTAAAACTAAGACTGGTTCCAGTGACA